GAAACATTTGTATGGAACAAAAAAACTCCTCAATGGTACAAATCTGATATGAATAATATTTCATTTTATGGAAGAAGAAATGAATGAATTGAACAAGATGAACTGATTATAACTATTTTAGCTAATATGATGTGAGGTCAAGAGAAGTGTCACATAAAGGAACAGTTTGAAAATGAATGCACTTGCGATAATCGCAGAAATAAAATCAGTTTGTTTTTTCTTTTTTTTTTTTTTTAAAAAAAAAAGAAATATGACAATACGACTGCGCTTGTTGGCACCTTCTGAGTGAATGTGACAAGAATCTGTCGCTCATCTTCTCTCCCTACTAATTTACTACATAACCTTATTGGTATGTATAAATAACAATTGAAGTTATAAGTCAGTACACAATAATATACGAATGTGATACGTCTGGTATACTTCTCTGGAACAAAAAAGAGAAAGAGAGAGAGAGAGAAAGAGGATGAAAAAAAATGGATTGCAAAAAAATTGACGTGAAAAGAAAATTGGAGGAAGAATTGACAAAAGTATAAGAGGACAAAGTGGCATAAAAGAGGAGGAAAGAGAGGAGAGGAGACGAAGAAAAAGGATTGGTAAGATTATGGTGCGATAAGGCGCAAACGATCCTATCACCTTTCCTCTCTTAATTTCATTTTGTTTTTCGAACAAAAAAAAAAAAGAACAAGAAAAAAAAAACTATGACATTATGATTCAGAAAAATTATTCGTATGAGAATTATTTGATAAGAGTTGGAAGTTCAAATGGGTCATTCTCGAATGAATTATTTCAAACTCAAAAATATCACAATACAATTGAATGTTTAGTATACGGCTATCATAAGTTATCTTTCATTTATTGCAAAATAATTATTACCTCTAATTAAATTATTTAACTTGTCAAAATAAATATTAATAAAAATGAATTAATTATAAGTGAAGTTTTTTCTTCTTATAGTTTCCTTCTATATAGAAAAAAATTTTTCAATAAGTTTTCAGTATGCAAATAAAAGGTAATAAAAGTTATGGAGCTAAGTAATGAAACGAGTAAATTTAATAGCATGGAAGGAAAGAAAAAGAGAGAGAGAGAGAGAGAGAGAGAGAGAAGGAAAGGAGAGGGAGAAAAAAACTATACCTTTCAATATGATAATCAAAACTATGACCTCTGAATTTGACCTCTAAAAATCGTAACTAAAAAAAATGAATGCTATTTGTAAAGCAATCATTTGTCTCCCTTTCATTTGTTTTTTAGGATGAATTTAGGTTGTTCACCCTGTGTTTCCTTTATCCTTATTGACTGTTGTTCCTTATGATGACCATCATTAAATACCATCGAAATGTTGTTATTGTTATTGTTATTGTTGTTATTGTTATTGTTGTTGCTGTTAGTAATGGATGAATTAGGACGAAGAGCGTTAAACATATTATATGATGCTGCAAAAATTACTGCAACGTTAGTGAGTGAAAAAAAAATAAATCAATTAAGAGAATAGCTGCTTATTAATTTAACAACAGCTGTTCATTATTAATATTTGATAGCACATATTTAAGAAAAAAACACACATGGAAATTTAAAAAATTTGTAGGTTTTACATAAAAACTTTTTTTAAAACTTTTTTTAAAATGATTTTTTTAAAATGAATTGAATTAAAGTAGCTTGTTTGCTTTGTAAATGGAAGATAATAATTGAAGCAAAAGTGAGAATGCTAGAATTTTGAGAAAACCACAAAATTTGAAGGTTTTAATTTCAACTAGCTCATATCGATTCAACAATTTCGTCCTTTAATCTTTGACTTAAGCTTATCCGTGTTCCTCTGTCCTCATATTCCTCATCATCACACATCCAAAAAGCAAAACTTAAAATTAAAATAAAGCAAGCAACGAAAAAAAAAGCCTTATAGTTTTAAAATAACAATTACCACTTATGAAATATGGCGCATATTCTGAAAAAAAGTGTTTAAAAAGTAAGAAATTATTCAATTTTCTGCTCAATTTAAAACAAATAATTTTTAATTCTAATAAATTTTAGTATTCAAACAAAAAAATAAAAACAAAATTTGCTACTTCTTTTGACGATCTCATTTCTGATCAATTTCTTATCTATCAATTAGTGGTGGAAAATTTAGACGACGCTTTTCATATTAGACGGATATCAATCCTCTTCATACTTATTTTCTTCATCTTAAAAAATAGTAAAACTCTTCGTTACAACAACTTTTATAATTACGAGAGAAAAAAATGCAGGAAAAATGAACTTACTGGAAATATCAATACCTAAACAAGTAATCCATTCACGAGCGCTTATTTCACCATCCTTATTTAAATCACAATATTTTGTAAATTTTTTTGCGCAAGTTTTCGGTGTAACATGCTTTCTAAACTGCACAAATTGTATTATTATCAGCTTATCAGACAGACAGTTTAGCAGATATTTAACTTAATGAATGTTATGAATATCATTCAAAATGTGACAAAAAATTCTTTTAATTCAAAATTTTTCAGTATCATTAATTTTATGAGATATATCATTCATAAATGTAATTTCGAATTCCGATACATTATCAAACCATCTTTTTGCTCATAACATTCTTACAATAAGAACAGATCAACAAATCAAGTAAAATGATAATTGAGTAAAGTTATACCGAACAAGACGGCGTAAACCACCGAATTCTTTCGAATTTAACCGACTATTCTTGTCATTATCAAGTTGACCAAATTTCCATAGCAATATCTTTTTATCAAATGAATGTATTGCTTCACCATTCGTATCTAAAAGCCAATAATAATGTTACGAATGGATTAATCAATAGAATTAGATTTTCTATAATGTTTAATTACCACCAATAATCAGTTAAACATCGTCTACTATTATTTATATTTAAATATCTCTATTAATTACATCCATTAATTTCAGTTTAAAATGAAAGAATACATTTGTTAATCGTGAAAGAAAGAATACTTCTCTCAAATTTAATATTGCTACTTGAAAATTTTAATTCAAACAGAATTTAAATTTTTTGATTACTATCAATATTAATAGAAAAAGAAGAAGAAGAAAAGAAACAATTTTTAACAATTTACGATGCAAAAATTGCTCGCTGCGTTCATATTCCTTTTTAAAAATATTCAATAAATTGGCGTTGAATGTCGATCGATCGACTGTTGAACAAACTTCAAAAATTACAAATATTTAGCATCAATTGCCAATTAAACTGTTAATGCTAGCATTTAAAAGAGAGGCAAACAATTAATATTTGTATATTGATCTTTTCATTTTTAAAGTAAAAAAAGAACGAAAAAAAAACGTAATTTAAAAGAAAGTATAATTAAGATGAAGTAAATTCGTTTGAGATATATAAATAAAATGCAATGCAGGACTCTTTTTTTGTGTCGAAATCGAATCATTCGAATAATTTTACAATTAAAAACTTTTCATTTTTGTTTAAATCATACCATTTAAGGATAAAGCATCACCGTTACTTTTTCGATGCGAACGTCGTCCAATTTTTATCTCTATAATCATTGTATCAGGAAATATAAAAGATTTATTATCATTGTTTCAGAAATTTATTTTGCTTATTTATCTATCTGTTAAATAATTTCCTAGTAACGGATAAAATTTTCCATGAAAATAACTAATATATTTGATCATGATGAATCATTAAAAAATCTCTTCGATTGATCTCTATTCCAAAATTTTGTTTCTTAATGATTTCAATGAAATCATACCGGTTAAGCTTCTTGTATTTTTAAAGTAAAAAAAAGCTTATTTTGAATATATGTAAAAAAGCAAACTTTGTAAAATATGACAATTGGGAATGCCATATCGTTTAGATGTGCTTGGTAACGGTCGTCCGATCCGTGTCACACACCAACAATAACCCGTGCTTCTATGACACTGTAATATCTACAGTTTATGTTAACTAATTATTAATCCTGAGAAATTAAAGACGTAAGAACGATATATACTTACCGCAATTAGAAGGTTATATGAATAAAAATAAAAAATTTTATCTTTTCAAATTTATCGAATAATAAACAATGATAAAAACTAATAAAAAATAAATGATTGAGATAAAAATGTATATTTAATTAATATGAATAACCTGTATTGTAGCATACGAACCATCGGTAGCATTACATTCCGGTACGTAAACTTCACTGCTATTCATTTTTTCCGCTGCTAATTTCAGCTGATAACTTCGTTCCAATTGACATCGTAAATTTTCTAGAAAAAAATTTCCCTTGGAATATTAAATTTGTTTTCATGAAATCAAACATTTCCATTATCTTACACTTTTGTATTCTAGTAAGTTTAATTTTACAGTAACATTTAACTGACATTATTCAATCTTTCATTGTTGGTAAAATTTGCAAAAGACAGAAAATGAAAATACCGGGACAGGGTCCCGAGAATTGTTTTTTCACCGGGTTACCATGACAGATGGCACGTTTCACTTCACAATATGAATTATATGTCCTTCCATCACTGCCACAAATTGGCTCGACGTTCATTTCCTCATAATTACACAATTTTTGCATAAAGCACTCCTCTTCTCCATGCTAATACGATAAATATGTAAGTGAAACAATACTAAAAATGAAATATATCGAAAATTTTGATTTAACTATGCAAAAATTAACAAATGCCACTTCAAAGAATATCAAAGGTCAAACATTGAAATATCAATTGTAATACAGTTCGTTGAGTATTCAAAATTTTGCTATTCCATTTCACGATTACTATTTCAATTTCAAAAAATCTCGCTATTACTTCTCCAAAACAATACTCTTTTTCCAATTCCTTGCTAATTATTTCAAGTATTTATTGATATCCTTTAAAATTGTGATTTTATAACGAAAATCTCCAAAAGGTTGCTAAAAATTTCAGAAATATAACCGAGAAGAATTTATGAATGTTGCATAAATTCACATAAATGCATACGAGAATAGCTGGTAGCAATTCAAATAATATTTGGAAAAATCACAAATTAAACAATAACTTAATTTGTTCTATTCATCTATTACACACTGTTCAAAATAATTCAAAATATTTTTTTGAGAATTTTAAAATTAAACAAATATATCTAATGGCATATAATACATGCAAAAATATTACTTTATTTGCTAAAAATTACATATTGCACCGGCGTATTTCATCTGTCATAAAATTTAAAAACGAGACTTATGGATAAAAATAATTAATTAAGCCTCACATCCGTGAATTGTTATTGCAAATTTCAAAATTTCATTTCCAAATTTACATGTAAAGATGATAAAAATCATTAAGATTGTATAATTCACATTAAATGATAATTTATTTTAGACATTCCATTTTTGATATTATTAATAGAAAACTTACAGATCGCTGACTTCGAAGTTGTGCGATTGTCGTTAATGCGAATGCATTTTTACAGATACTACTCATGCCAATAAGCAAATAGGTGAGAAATAAGTAAATTGGCATAGTTCGAGAATGATTTCTGATCGGTCCAGTTGGCTATCCAACCCACCATCCAATAATTTCTAATATTATTTTCCTGATAGTGTTCTTTTTCATTATCGCTGGATTAGAATATACTGATGGAGAAAAAATGGGGAATCTGAAATTGTTTGAATGATACTTAAAAGTAAATTAATGATTTATGGAAAGCGAAGAAATGGAATATCGTTCTTTGATATATGACATTATTTTGAAGCAGTTAAAATTCTTCTTGACAAGTACAATCATGTTTTTGTGACGTTCAAACCATTTAGTGCAATCATCCACGAATGATTTAAGCATAATGTTAGAGTTAGGAAAAGCTTTACTATTTATGTATGCAAATGATAAATTAAGAAATTATTAAGAGGTGATTCGAATATTTGAAAAGTTATCAGTGAACATCATTGCATATCACTTATATAGCAATAACATCTATGAAGAGCTTACTTCTTAATTAATTACTTAAATTCTACTAATACTTTTACTAGTACTTTTAACCAATACTTTTAAAATAAAAATGAAAATACAGAAATCTTGTTAGAGTCCACCATTTGTCATTTTGAATTAAAAGGGAAAGAATGGAAAAAATGAAAAAAAAAGTACAAGCTCTATTGGTAAATCATTTTAAAAAATTGAAGGAAATTTTTTTTTTTTGGTAACAAATTTACATTTCAATCAAATTGTCTCAGTGGTACTAGTTCGTACCTTCC